CTTTAACTTGAGTCACTAAGTCATGGTCATTGTCAAACCCAATAGCATTGGCATCAGCCCCATGGTGGGGAGGCATAGGATTATTCTGAACATTAGGGCCTATAGGAGAAAAGCTTAACTCTTTGGCATCTAAAAGAGATTGCACCTTGTATTTTAAAGCTTTGCAATTTTCGATCGAGTGGCCTGGAGCACCTGAATGGAATTCACAACGTGCATTAACATCATAACCCCTTGGGAGTTCTGCTGGCGGTGGAGCTAACTCTCGAAGTTGTACTAAGTGACCGACTAGCAATTATGGAAGCAATTGAGCATACGACATCGGGATTGGATCGATCCTCCTTTCGGGGTACCTTTGTTGCCTTTGTTGACCCCTCTGCACCTGGGGCCTTTGGTTTTGTTGATAGTTTTGTGGCAGTGCATACTGTTGCTGAGGAGTAACAGCAGGGGTTTGGTAATACGGAACCTGTACAATAGCTTTCCCTTTATCACCAGAAGTATTGCTTAGCTCTCCTTATTTTTTCTTGACGAAACCGCTAGAGTACGGTTTCTTCCTACCACCTGAGTTGTTGTTACCATTTGTGCTAGATGCGCCTGGGATAGTCCCTACCTTAACACATATCTCAACTCGTTCCCCGATGATGACCTTATATGAAAACGAGTCAGAAGTACTACTGAGCATATGTTGCAAATACGGGCCTCGGAGGTTACTCATGAACAAATCCACTAGTTCCCGATCTAGGAGAGGAGGTTGAACTCTTGCGGCCAAACTGCGCCATCTCTGGGCGTACTCTTTGAAAGACTCACTAGTCTTTTGAGACATACTCTGCAGCTGCGCATGGCTAGGTGCCATGGCGGTGTTATAGTGATAGTGTTTTAAGAAAGCATCAACAAGCTCACTCCAATTACTAACATGAGTTTGCTCCAACTGCATGTACCACTCTAATGGAGCTTCAGCAAGACTGTCTTGAAAGAAATGCATAAGCAATGGCTCATTGCTAGCATAAGCAACCATCTTTCTGCAGTAAGATCGGAGATGAGTCTCTTGGCATGTAACCCCCTTATACTTATCGAAATCAGGTACCTTAAACTTCGGCGGAATCACAACCCCTGGAACTAAACACATAGCAGCGGCGCCAAATCCTGGTTTCTTAGAAGTCTCCATAGCCTTTAAGCGTTCTTCCAAAGCCTTGTACATCTTAGCAGTTTCACACAAATCAGCGGTAGAATCCTTTAGAGGGTCATCGAGATCAATGACATCATGATGGTCATCCATAATCAGTCGTGGGTTCTTCTTAGGAATCCCCCCATGGTCATTGTTGGGTCCTCCATTCTCGGATGTGGAGGCACCGTCTACCAGTTTTGTGACGCTTATTCTGAGTTCTTCCTGCCCTTGGATGACGGCATGAAGAGTTTCCATGAGTTAATTCATCCGGTCACCCATAGTGTCCATGTCTTTGCGGAGAGAGGCCTGGTTCTGCTCAATCTGTTCCATGATCCTCAACTTGTTGGCTCGAGTGCGATAAGGATGTAAGGAAGTCGTCTTGTAGTTTCTCTAATAAAAAAGCAAAACCATCAGATAAGAATTCCTGCCAGAAAACCTGTAATTCATGAAATGCATGATATGTATGATATATGAAATGATTGTCCACTCCGGCTCTCCATGGTTTAATTACCGTCGGCAGTAATCGAGCAACATGTTGACAAGAACGACCATATGAAGAAAACATCCAAAAACAAGAGAAATTCTCACAGAATTGAATATAAGAAGGTTATGGGAATACAAGATGATCAACTCTGTTTATTGGCAATAATAATGATCAGTTCGGGGGTAGGTTACTATTTTTTCTTCCATTTATACCGCTTAGGCTCAAATAAAGTTCCTTAGAGATAGTTTCAAAATCGTGCCCCTGCCAGACTTGGCAACAGGTAGGTGCTCAGCAAAGGGGATCGTCCTTCCGGAATTGGAACAATTTGACAGTCGTGGAATGTGTAACCTGTAGCTATAAGACTTAAGTAGGGTCAAAATGACCAAAATGGTCCTTTAGACTCTTCAAAGAAGGCCAAGAACTTGAGCGGAAAACTTGAGTAGTATAGATAAATATGATTGTCTCCTTTGGTTCTCTTGAGAACAACATTGTTGCCAAATGTTACTGACGAAAATTATGCCAGAGAGGTATCCAAAGTGGACGTGCATATGCAAGGTTGATAATTTCATCTTTTTGACATTTCTTTTTTTGAGAAATAAACATGTTATGATGTAAATGCAAAGTGATCATGGGGTTACTACTTCCATGATACCAATTTCTGCTGTACTGCCTTTGTGTAATCTGTAAGTATCAGGATCGTAGGTCCGGAACATAAACCATATAATCTTATGAACAAATTTGGGTCTCAGAAAATAAATATGAGAACCTCCTAATCATTGACAGAGTTCCAGAGCATATCCATTAGAATCGATAGTTGTTGTCTGGGTACACTCACTATCCGAATATGAATAACCATCCGAACACAGTCACCATATGTACCTGTAATAAGAATTCCTTCCCCGCTCACGGTGAAAACTAGGTCAGGGTAAGGCAATGGTAACTCATAATCGAGGGTACTCCTGAAAAACTATCGTCGTATCACCTAAGTGAAAACGATAGCCCCTCATTTGTACCTCATCTGAGCGTGGACGACATGGCGGAGATAGTGAGACCTAAGTCAACTAGCCATTCATGTTCCACTCTATTCCTAGGGTTCCTATGGTATACAACTCTGGCCTGGGTATTGGTCCTTTTACCTCATAGTAACACCCACCCAATAAGAAGTAGATCCAGTACAACAGCAGTATATGGAAGACAGTAAAATGCAATGCATACATATGCTTAAGTATATACAAAATGAATGAACAAACTAAAAGCATAAAGATAAACACCCAAATGAAAGAAAGCAAGAGCTAGGAGTGACTCCGGGATGGACCAGCATTTGGTCGACCTGTCCCCAGTGAAGTTGCCAGTTGAAACAACCGGCTGAAAATCATCAAAACAATGAATTCGCCATTGAACGTCTTTTATCCCACATGTAGGGAAAGGTAAACATCGAGAAAACCTGAGAAGGGAGAAGTCACGGTCTTGCGACTGAGAGATAGGGTAAGGGAGTCTGTTACGCGAGGGGAAGGTATTAGCACCCCACACGCCCGTAGTACTCTACGGTATCCACTCTTGTTGTCTATCTTATAGGTGTGTTTAATTTATGCTTACTGTTTACTATACTGCTAAAGGGGGAATGCATGCAAAAGAAAGGGGAAAAGAATGTAGGGAAAATAAAATTGTGCTCGCCTGGGCCCTACCCCAATGCCTACGTATCCTTTTTGAGGAATCAGAGCTACCGTAGTTCGGCTCATATGTTTTTGTTTTTTATGTACAATGTTAATTCCGCCTTCTATCGCAGCTCAAACTTTGGAGACTTATGCGTTGGCACAGAAGTAAATTAATAATGTCCTTACCTGAAAAGGGTTTTAGAGAGAAGGTTCTCGAGCGCACAAAATGGTTTGAATTTGTTTTGTATTTTTGTTACCTTGAAAAAGGGTTTAACTATGATTAGCATGGTTTTATGATTTGATAAGAAAATGAGTTTTTGTTTTAGATGCACATGCAAAAGGGAAGAAAAGAGTCTAAGGGAGACTAGCCTATTTATAACCTAATATTATCATACAATGGTGGTCCTAAGGTTTGGATTAACAAAAGGGGAACGTCTACCTAATGTTAGCATGCATGGTTTGCAACCTAAGGTCTAACTTGCGTCCGAACAGAGCAAGCGTATCCTAAGGGAACATGGTATGTACAAGGATAAAGCAAACAAGCCAGCAAAAAGGATGCACACCTAAAGGGTTCCTGCCTAGGTTAGCATGTCGAAGAAAAGTCTAAAAAACTATCCTATAGGGAGCATGCAATGAGAGCGAAGTCGTGATCTCAATTTCTAAATTGAGTGACTCATCGATCAACAAGAAAGAATGGGAAGCGATAAAATCCTATAGGGAGCATGCACTGAGAGCGAAGTCGTGATCTCAATTGCTAAATTAAGTGACTCATCGATCGACAAGAAAGTAAACAAACACAAGCACAAATCATATAGCAAATGAAGTGCGGAATGCCTGCTACAGGTCTTTAAACAGCGACTTCGAGCGAACGCTCTTTATTTCCTACTTCTCATGGTATCTAGAAAGCAATAACGAAATGAAGTAAAGTGCGAAGAAGTACAAGGGTAGTAGCGGAGGCTACCATAGCGAGCAAGTCGTCAAAAGCATATGAAAGCACTGAAAAAGCAGGGAGTACGTGCCGAGCAAGCTTCATCGAGAAACAAACAGAGTCAGAAACAATACCCAACTAAGATAAAGGCAAACGCGTGTCGCGAATGTGGCGCGTAATCAGAAATTTCGTTAAACCATTGATCATGCCAATGGAATTGAATCAAGCTTACGGAATCGACAAGAACGTATTAAAATCTTAATTCTAATCATGTACCCAAACATTAATTTAATTAATTCCTATTTTATAAGCAGAAGAAGTGAGAATTAGAATCATAGGGTGTTGTAGTAGTGGAGGCTCTAAGGCCCACCATGAAGGTCCATTATTCAATTGCTAGCATGCTATCAAAACAAAAACAAAAAAATGTACCGGGCTTCAAGGGGTGAGCATAACCCGGTCCATTAAACATGTTCCTAAAACTAACCAGATTTTTGTCATTTTATTAATATATATTAAATGGAATAAAACTATAAGAAAATAAATACAAATTAAATAAGGATTAGGGTTCAGTGTTGCATAGCCTCCTCCGTCCCCCTTTCTAGTTCCGCACAGCATCCCTCCGCCATATTCTGATGGACCTTAACCTTCTTCGATTCTCATCACCGTCTCATCTCTGTTCTCACGCAGCGGATGCTTCGCTGTTCACCATGCCATGGCTTCGTCCGCACCACACACAATTGTTTCCCCCTGCTCCCACGTCTCTCTCACCTTCTACCGTCGTGAGATCTCTTTAGCTTCAATCTTTCGACTCCGACGACCTCCGTCTTCATCGCGACAACGCCCTTCAATCACCACACCCCGCCGCTCATCCATCGTCATCTCCGCTTCTGTGATTCTCATCACCGTCTCAGATTCGTTCGACCTTTCTTTCGCATTTCCGATTCGCCTTCCTAAACATACCAATCCAATCTAACAAACAACAATTGTAGTAATGAGTGAAGGAGATTTACCAACCCGAGAAGTGTTCGGCGCCTCTTTGACGGTGTTGTGTTGACGAGAAATGCCGAGATAAAGGCTCAGGTATGTGTATTTTTCCTTTTCTTCTTTGATGAGTACTCCACGGCTGTGTTTCGGTGATAGAATAGTGATGTTATGTATTATGTTGCACAAGATGACGCGCATAGATTTGAAGAAGCTTGCACGTAGATTGAAGATTCGGTTGAATACTCAAGGACAATGGAGAGTGCAGAATGGATGTGTAGAGCAACAATGAGAATTTTCTGAGATTTTATTGTGATTCTTCCACAAATGGAGAATGAAGTTGTGTAGGTTGAAGCTTTTGTTCTGTGTTGAAGTTGCAGATGATTGATAAAGATGCAGAGGTACACACGATAGAAAGGTTGAAGATGAAGATCTTTCTGTGGTTCTTGCGGAGAAGGAGTTCAGAGAGAGTTGAAGGTTGAAAGGCGAGTCTCCTTGATAGTTTATGTTATTTTTTTTATGGTGAATGAATCCTCTATCTCCCTCTGTTGTATTCTGTTAGTCATGGAAATGGTTAGGCAGTTAGGATGTTATAAACTGTTATGGGAATTTTTTGGGGTTCTGTTACTGGAAGAAGTTTTTTTCACGGTTCTGTTAGAGTTTGTTAGAGTTCTGTTACAGTAGGTTGTAGAAATTGGTTTTTGTTGTAGGTTGGTAGTTATGATTGGTTATGGAGAGGTTTTTCTGTTTGGAAGCTGGTTGGCTGGATGTCGGAATTCTATTTTAGCTTTCTATTTGAAATGTTAGTTGGAATTCTGTTAGGAATTAGTTATAAAAACAAAAAACTGTTATGAGAAAATCTGCTTTTCTGTAAAAAATGGTTGAGAGTTTGAGAAGGTTAGGGAACGGTTACGGAATGGAAAAATGGTTAGGAAATGGGAAATTCTGTTTTGGTTAACAGTTATAGAGATTAGTTATTTTGTTATGGACTTTTTGGTTGTAAACATCATTGGTTTGAACAAAGCTTTAACGCAATTTTCTGGTTGTGTTTGGACAGGTAACGTGGTAAGTTCTTAAAGAATGGATTCTTGCGGATTCTCACTCCATTTATACAGTAAGCTCACAACTTATACATGGTGTACTTAAAGGAAATCGTCGGAGATTTAGCATGAAGTGGATTTTGAATGAAGTTTGGAGGATTGAAAGCTTGAATATTAGGCTTAGGAACACTTGATGAATCAACACATGTTTAGATCTCGTAGACCTCTTGAAAAAGTTCCTGTAATTTTATTGAAACTTCCATTTGGGAATCTTTTGTGAAAGTAACATGATAAGTTTTAATGGCTTGTATCTGGAATAGTTACTTCATATTCTCCCCTCGATCAATGAAATGATTCTTTCCATTCTCACAAATTCAAAAAAATGCTTGTATGGGATTAAGAATAATATTGAATGAAGTTCTGTAATTTCTTGAGCTTGTTTTGAGAATGATGACATTTGAATAAGTCTTGTGTGAATGCAACCACCTTGAATCTAGCTTAATTCCATGGACATGTTGTGTTAATGTTTTATAATTTCACTTGTCCTTCAAGAAATCTGAATGCCCTTGCAAACTCCAAGCAAATCTAACCCATGTCATTAGGTAGCATTCCAAACGATTTTAAATAATGGACCCATAAAAGCCAAACCAAGTCAATCTCGCCTCCTTGCAAGAACTCTTAATTTTCCTCTTAACCTCACTTTTTACAATCAAAGTAACAAATAATAACAGTGGCTTGATCATATTACACGTCCACCACATCATCTTTATACCACGATTTAAACTTTGTAATCCATTCCACCAATGCACCTCAATAGACAACCATTGATCTTGAAGTAAATGTCACGGAGAAAATCTTGTAGATAGGAACAATTAGAATCATATAAATGACGGTGATCACAAGGTCCTGAGATCCCTTGAGATTCACTTTGATGGTTTAAAAGCCCATGGTGAAGATGCCCTTGTAGCTTGATAAGAAAGAAGTGCATAATAACCATGCATCCAAAACCCTATCTTCAAACCATAATTATCGAAGAAACCAACTGATTCAAGCCTGAGTAAAGATGAGGACCATCAACGCCATAAAAACCCTAATTCCACCATATCACTGATTATATGCTAAATTATGTTGTTAGCAAATTTATGCAATGTTAAATGACCTAATGAAGATATGTACATGAGAAAAGCGCGACAATGCATAAACCAGATAAAAGTAGAAGGGTAGGACACTTTTGGGGTATTACACTAGGCACCTTATCGGGACCATTTTTCAACCACCTGATTGGGAGTTCCTCAGCTGGGTTTACTGAATTAATCATGACTGGCGAGCGGGTCGAAGCCGGTATAAAAAGCGGCAAAATTCAAAGAGATGCATCCTCGAGCATGATGAAGAAACCCTTTATTGGAAAGAAGGAGGTTAGTGCTGCATATGACTATAGGAATCAAAACAAAACTGACCGTCGCCCGGCGGTAGGGGCTGTTATGATTTCTAATCCTGTGCCAAATTAGCAGCAAAATTATCAGCGCAAACCAGAAGCGCCCATGAGACGTTTTACCTTGATCAACATGACCATGTCTCATGTTTTGCCACACCTTCTGAAGACCAATCTGGCAACTTTAAAAGAAGCTCCCAAGAACCCTAATACTTCTTCTCCTCGCAACAACCCGAACGCCCGATGTGCCTATCTTTCTAAAAGCCTGGGGCACAATACAAATGATCGTTGGGCCTTAAAGAATAAAGTGAAATATCTTATCGATGCAAAAGAGATTGAGTTTGATCCCTCAGAAACGCCTAATGTAATAAAGGCGCCAATGCCCAGACATGGCCAAGGTATCAACGCCATTGATGATGATCATTTTGTTTCCTCCGTGAATGACTTAATCACTCCTCTATTAACCAGTAAACATAATTTACTGCAAGTCGGTCTGTTCCTGGGCTGCGATGAAGATTTTCACTTATGCAAGTCTCTACCAAACGGTTGTTTGTTACTAAAGATAGGCGTACAGCGCCTGATGACTAGTAAAGAAATCTTATTTGAAAAGATTCCTCTTACCAGAAGTTCCTATCAAGATGTTTCAATAATCACCATTTCCGAAATCCTCCCAGGGTCTCCACCAAAAGACCCGTCAGGATTACATATGTTCCAAGGTCTGCACCTTTAATCATCACTATGCCAAGACCAATATCATACTCTTCGGATAAAGCTGTTACCTGGAGTTATGGGGCTGATGTTTATTACTATGGCGTCAAGCAAGATTAGTTGGTTGTTAGAGACAAAGTTGCGAGAGATTTTGATCTTGACATCGGTAATATCACTGGGACCAACAAAATAACAAGAAGTGGAAGAGTCTTCTCACCTGAGATTTCTCCAAAGACCGTTGCTACTCCTGTGATCATTCCTACTACCACTCCTAACGACACTCCCAGTGATACTCATACTGTTATCCCTGCTACCGATACAAGGGGAAAAGAGGTCTTGAATGAGCTGGTCCAAGCAAGAGAGCCTCCCGAGATCATACTTGAAGCTTCTAGAAAAGAGATAGAAGAAATACTGAAGATAATCAAGAAAAGTGACTACAACATTGTAGAACAGTTGGGGCAAACCCCCTCAAAGATATTATTGTTGTCCTTACTCTTGTGTTCTGAGGCCCACGCCAAAGCTTTGGTAAAGTTTCTTAAGACCGCCCATGTTCCCCAAGAGACCTCCATCGATCAATTTGAAAACTGTTTGGCCAGTATAACTGCTGATAACGGATTGGGCTTTTCCGACGCTGATTTAACCTCTAAGGGAAGGAAGCACAATGATGCCTTGCATGTTTCCATTGAATGCAGGGGCACCACACTTGCCCATGTTCTGGTGGATACCGGCTCATCATTGAATGTCTTGCCCAAAAATGCTCTCGACCGACTGGACTGCGATGGGCTCATCTTAAAACCTAGCAACATCATAGTAAGGGCCTTTGATGGTTCCAAGAGGACAGTTCACAGAGAGGTTAGTATCCCCATAAAAATTGGAACTAAGATTTTTTACTCAACTTTCTATGTGATGGATATCCACCCTTCATACTCTTGTCTATTGGGTCGACCTTGGATCCATGGTGCGGGTGCCATCACTTCAACCCTGCAGCAAATGCTAAAATACCCGATCAAAGGAAAGATCGTCACACTTCACAGAGAGGAGGAGTACATGGTTATCCATCTGAACTCTTTCAGGTATGTTGAAATGAATGGTGAATTCATCGAGACTCCCAGTTAGAACTTTGAGGAGGTTCCAGCAATAGTCGTGGAAACCAAGTCTACTCTTAAGGTCCCGAAGATTACCAGACCTCCACTGAAGATGGCCTCTTTAAAAGATGCTCGAGCGATAGTTGAAGAAGGAGGGTGTACCATCTGGGGTCAGCTTCCGGATATTCCCTACAAGTCCGACAAGTATGGTTGGGATTCACTGCAGAGGCCCAAAGAGCTGTTCGACGTTCTCGCATCAGGGAACCACCTCTATGTATCAGCAATCAGGGAGTCAATGCAGTAGAAGACAGTGATGTCACTTGTGTTTTGGACGAATGGATTTTCCCAACCAATCGATGGAGGGCTCAACAATTGGGAGGCCAAATATTTCATTCCTATTACTTTTATTCAAGATTAATTGTCTTTTAATATTTCCAGGCTTGTAATATTTAAACAATTCAGACTTTTAAAACCTTGTGTCTTACCCGAGGAACAACGGTCCATTTGTGAGGGTTGTCACTTCATTCTCATATGTCATTAATGAATCATGGACGTTTTTGCATCAAATTTTGTGTTCTTTGTCTTTCTTTCTTACATTTTATTTCTTTCAAAAGTAGATATGCTCTTACACACACTCACATATTAAAATGCATATTAACATCCACTCAGGATCCCATGGGTAACGGTTCTGCTATGGCCAATTGTGACTTTGAAAATCCGATATACCAAGCCGAAGACGAAAGTGAGGAAGATTGTGAGGTGCCAGGGGAGTTGGCCAGGTTGTTGCCATAGGAAGAAAGGACCATTCATCTGCACGAAGAGCTAGTTGAAACAATTAACTTAGGTACTGAGGAGGACAAAAAGGAGGTCAAGGTGGGCGTCAATTTGGAACCTAGTGTCAAGGAGCGTCTGATTCAGTTGTTGCATGATTATGTT